GGAAAGAAAGAAAGAAAGAAAGAAAGAAAGAAAGAAAGAAAGAAAGAAAGAAAGAAAGAAAGAAAGAAAGAGAAGGAAAGGAGGGAAAGAAGGAGGGAAAGAAAGAAGGAAAAAAGGAGGGAAAGAAAGAAAGAGAAGGAAAGGAGGGAAAGAAGGAGGGAAAGAAAGAAGGAAAAAAGGAGGGAAAGAAAGAAAGAAAGAAAGAAAGAAAGAAAGAAAGAAAGAAAGAAAGAAAGAAAGAAAGAAAGAAAGAGAAGGAAAGGAGGGAAAGAAGGAGGGAAAGAAAGAAGGAAAAAAGGAGGGAAAGAAAGAAAGAGAAGGAAAGGAGGGAAAGAAGGAGGGAAAGAAGGAGGGAGAGAAGGAGGGAGAGAAGGAGCAGGGGGCGGGGCTTGCTGCATGTGCCCGCTCCCTGGGCTCTTTACTGCCGGAGCTCCGCTCCAGTGCACTCCTGCAGGAAATGACCCCTGCCCAGTTCCATCTGTAAATGGCAATATTAAGGACTTGCTTCATAGGATTCTTGGAGCAATGAATGAGATAAAGATGTGAATCAGGTATATTTGCATGAAATGGTCCCAATTTGGTCAGTACTGGCCATCACTAAGTCCCACCAAAGTTCCCTGGGGCAACGTTAGTGCTGGATAGCAAGTCCAATTTGCTTTCAGTGAGACTTAGTTTTGTCTAATTTTAGCAGTATACCTCTGAAACCCAGTGCTAGGAGGCAACATTGGAGGAGGGCTTCAGCCTCCATGCCCTGTTTGTTGGCCCTGCAGGGTAACTGGTTGACTGCTGTGTGAAACAGGTTCCTGGTCTAGATGGATCACTGGCCTGATCCAGTAAGCTCTTCTTATGTCTTGATGGACTGGAGCCATACATTTCCAGAAATTGAGGCAGACTGCAGAAGGTGCTGGTTCAACAATTACTCACATTTATAATTTCCCTCACAGAAGTTGCCAATCTCCCATGATTTTCTCAGTTTTGTACCACTCGAATTTCCTCTTACACGGAATGTTTGCAGTTTACCATAATTCTTCTGGAAGTATTCCTGTGTTCAATAGACCAGGCTCTGATTTTACCATATGAATGGCCTAGAGTCACATGGCAGCACATGTGACAGTGTCCCCAATTTTTCATTTGACAAAAATCTACTTCCAGATGGATTCCATCTGTATCTGGGCACTCCTGGCTTATTGGGACAGATTACCATCTTATCAGGGCTTGTATTTCTACAGAAAAGTGGATCAGACACATCTGTTATCTTTTTATATCTTACCAAGCATGCACTTGCACATGAGTCCACCTCCCAATATCTCTTGAAGTGCTCACAGAATGAAATAGCTCACCTTTTCTTGGCACTTGGGGCAGACCCAGACCCCTTTGGGGGCTGTCTTTAAGGGAGGGTCCAAGCAGTTGAGGTGATAGGCTCTGGGACACATTCCACAGAGCTGCAAGTTGGCACCACGCTTGCATGCTGAACAGTGTTCATCATGGTTGATTTCATTCTGAAAAAAAAAGAAACGCATGTGGATGCTTACAGTCCAGATGATCTATTAAAGGAGCTCTCCACAAGCAAACCTTGACATGACAACTTTGCCAGATATGTCTACAAACAGAACAAAAGTTACCGTGATCAATTGACTAATATACTTTCCAATACTAAATCAATCTTCCTTGCTTAATTTAATCATGCTTAATACAGTCGTAATCATATAAATATCATAATCATATACAGATAAACACATACAAATGTTCAAATATGAATATCAAATCAGTCCTTCAAATGATACTCCAAGGTAGGGACACCACATAAATCCTGGAAAGAGTCCTCAAAATCTCCCAGCTGTAAATTGCGGCTGTGCGTTGTTCCACTGGAGAGACTCCCAGGACTTCACCACTTTTCCAATATGTGTATGTAGTGATCCACTTCTGTATTCCAATTAGCAGTCCAAAGGGAATCCACCATGTAGGTACACTTAGCAACAGGTGTACAGCACTTCTGTTTACAAAAGGTCCCAGCAACGAACAGTCGACTTGAAACATTCACTTCACCCCCCCAAGTTTCTTCACAGTCGGGACATCAAAGCAAGCGTATCATGTCCGCAATCAATATCCAATGTTTTCCAGTCAAGAATTAAATCTCCAACGAGTTTGAAGGACTGGTCTGATGTTCATATTTGAAAATCTGTATGTGATTATTTGCATATGACTACGATATTTATATAATTATGACTGTATTAAGCATGATTAAATTAAGCAAGGAAGATTGGTATAGTATTGGAAAGTATATTAGTAAATCGATCACGGTAACTTTTGTTCTATTTATAGCCATTCATTTCTACGATCCTCTCTCTTCCATTTACCTGATTGGAGAGTCATAATTTTGCCAGACGAGCACAACTAAACACACTGAACTTTCCAGTATGTAAGGCAGCTCAAGATGGGTAGCTGTGATTGTTAGTAGCAGTAGAAAAGAGCAAGAGTGCAGGAACATCTTAAAGACTAGCACAATTTGTGGCAGGGTAGGAGCTTCCATGAGTCACTGCTCACTTCTTCAGATACAACTAGCATGTGAGTGAGTCCGTTAGAGAGATATAGGAAAGGTATAGGACAAAATATAGGACAGATGCTTATACCTTGAATAAAACTTTTTGGGTCTTAAAGGTGCCACTAGACTCAAGCTTTGTTCTTGACAAATATTGTTTTCATCTCCTTCTTTCTGTTGACTGGAAGAGTGTTGCCAGGATTAAATCAGAATTAAGCCTGGATGACTACATTCAGACATCATGCAAAACTATTCTTAAAATACCTCCTCAGATCCTGGTTTGATGGACCCCAACCAACCAAGGCTAGTTTATCAAACCATGGTTTTACATGATGAACCAGAGAGTGACTAGGCCCAAGTCTCCCAGTGAGTTTTATGGCTGAGCAAGAATTTGAACTCAGGCCTCCCCTGACTTAGTCTAATGCTCTAACCTTGCATGGGGTTGTGAAGCTATTGTCAAAAGTCTTTTGGCTATACAAGTAGAACCATTGGTGGCTGCTTCACCTTAATGACTAGTAGTTTTTCAATCAATATTTGCTACAGAAGAGACCAAATATGAATATGAGAACAGTTCAATAATTTCACTGTTGTGCAGTTTTGACCATACACTGTATGAATACTAGATACCCAAGTGCCAGTTCAGGGATCTACAGACCAAGAGTACAACTGATGCAGTAACAGCAGGAGGACGTCTTGTGCTTGCAAGCAGTTCCTCCCCGCCCCGCCCCCCCATCCCTGGTATAAAGTGGAATGTCTAAACCTGGCTGAACTACATTTATCTGTGCACAAAACACCCAAACTAAAATGAGAGGTTATATTATGGTACCAGAGAGATTGGTCATGCTTTAGAATAAGAACATAAGAGAAGCCAATGTTGGATCAGACCAATGGCCCATCCAGTCCAACACTCTGTCACACAGTGGCCAAAATACCAGGTGCCATCAGGAGGTCCACCAGTGGGGCCGGGACACTAGAAGCCCACCCACTGTTGCCTTCCCCCCCCCCCAGCACCAAGAATACAGAGCATCATTTGCCCCAGGCTGAGAACTCCTATCTATACCTTGTGGCTAATAGCCACTGATGGACCTCTGCTCCATATGTTTATCTGATTCCCTCTTGAAGCCTTCCATGCTTGTAGCCGCCGCCACCTCCTGTGGCAGTGAATTCCATGTGTGAATCAATCTTTGTGTGAAGAAGTACTTCCTTTTATCCATTCTAACCTGACTGCTCAGCAATTTCATAAAGTGCCCACGAGTTCTTTTATAGTTAGAAAGGAAGAAAAGTACTTCTTTCTCTACCTGCTCTATCCCATGCATAATCTTGTAAATCTCTATCATGTTATGTATTTGAATGGATATGTTCTGTCTATGGTCCTTCATGAAAGGAGACCACACATGGACCCAAGACTGGCTTCCACCATCCCTGTGTTGACTGTACTCTTCCTGAAACAGCCTTTGACAGACAATAAGGAGAAGAACCTTGTGGTTTTATGCTGGGACAGCAACCACTGGACTTACAATAAAAGCATAGCGGAGTAAGCCATGATTAGAACAGGCTTTAGAAATAGACAATGTTCCATAAACGTACCTTCCAACTTGGATCCTCATTGGCTAGCGTTGTGAAAGAAGGGCAGAACATAGGTTAGTAGCAGTGAATGGAAATTTCCAGCCAGAGAGATTTTAGCCAAGCTGTGATAAAATACTTTGTATAAGAGGAAGAGTGCAGGCAGCTAGGGTATGTCTCCATCAGCAGCAACCCTGGCTGCATGCCCTATTTTAATTTGACTTCGTGCACTTTCTCATCATGCTTGCTTTTTTCTACCAAGATGGTTCTTTATTTAGACCAAATGTGTGCCATTCCCTAAATCTTCTCCTAATGTTAGCATTAGAGAAAAATTTTCTGAAACTGTACTTCTAGTGATACTTTACCCCGGCCAGACTGGCAAAAATCTTTGCAGAATCAGAACTCTGTTGGAAGGGTAGTAAGGGAAGAGGAACTCTGGTACATATGTGCTGGGAGTGTCAACTGGTTCAAAGATTTTGAAATTTAGTAGTTCATAAAGAAACAGTGTGTCATAGACTATAGTGTTTTTTTTATTTATCCCCTGTGACATATCTGTTAGGAGATATATCCATTGGGATACAAAAAGAACACGGTACATTTGTCCAGAACCTAATTATAGGAGCTAGGATGGCATTAGCTCAGGTATGGAAACAACAAACTCCCGAAAAAATATATTGGTTAGGTAGTGTTTGATATGTAATATCTATGGATAATATCACAATTTATATGTGGTCACAAAAATCATGGACATATGACAAATTCATAACGACTTGGTACCTTTTTGTAATCTACTGAACATGGTAAAGAAGGAGGTGCTAGAATGTATTTATGTATTATAACTTTTGTGCTTTCCTTTTTTCCGCTTCCCTTCTTGAATAATATTTTTCTGATATTTATGTATATCTGTCAAATCTTCTATGCATTTAATTTGTGTGATTAATGTGCGTATCATGCAATATATGGATACAAGTAAAAAAAAATTAAAAGCTTACCTCTTGTGGACAGGAACAAGGGATTATTCAAATAATTTGATGCAAGGCGCTTCCTCTGCAAAAGGCAGAGATACCACATGGTTACCTGAGGAGCAAAACTCACATGGCCTTTCACACCACCCCTTGTAGAGCACTTCTGTAGCAGCATGTGACATGCAACGAGTTCTTTACTTGCAATATCTGAGTAGGGCTAAGTTGCCTTTCAACCTTTATATGGATCAAAATGAATCTTTACCAATATTTCCTATACAAGAAGAGTATCTTGTATGAGTATTACTTATACATGCTATTCCTTATATATTTGTTTTACTCATGTAGAATCCCTTGATCCTCTTATGTCCCTCCCAACAGTTAACAGAATAACTTCAGAATAAAAAAAAGAGAAATCTGCTTCAAAGCATACCATTTAGCACAGACGGCAATGTGGTATTTTGCAACTAGGGAGAACATTTAAAAGGTACTTCATATGCAACTTCAGTTTAAGTGATCATGAATTAAAGATCATCCACCAGTTCTATTGTAAGCTGAAAAGTATCAAAATGCCTGAAACGTTGGCATCTCTCTCAAACTGTTGATTAGCAAATCAATCAAACAAGCTAACTGATTAGAATATAAACGCGGTCTGCCTCCATCTTATTTGAGCAGCATTTCTCACGGTCATTAGGAATAGCGATTCCTAATGAGGACAGATATAATCAGATGCAAAATTGACACCCGGAGAGGCAATTCTTAATATACCCCCTTCCTGCCCCATCTTACAGTTTAGAAACAAACACAAGAGTGGTAGCCACAAGAACACATGAAGCTGCCTTATAGAGAGACCACTAGTCTATCTAAGTGAGTCATGACTATTATGACTGGCAGAAACTCGTTTCGTCACCTGCTACCTGACCTGTTTAACAAGTGATGCTGGGAATGCAGATGCTCTACCCACTTAGCCAAGAACCTCACCCCAAACAGCAGCCATAACAGTTTGTGCAGATACCAGACATATAATGAAATAAGTTCTCATGGGCAAAAGCCCAGTTTATGCATCTGATAAGGTGGTAACCTCAATGAGCTGGGGGGAAAAAGAATGATAAACTTTTACTAATAGAACAGCAGCACATACATTTTGTACAATGTTATGATTATGTCTGTTGTTTGAGACTGGGCCCTTTCCTTAAAATAGCAATTTGTGGTCTGGGATAGGGAGGTGAATGAAACTGGAACAAAGAGATTTTGGGGGAGGATAAGGAAGAAGAAGGAGAAGAGTTGGTTTTATACCCCTGCCCTTCACTACCCGAAGGAGTCTCAGAGTGGCTTACAATCGCCTTCCCTTCCTCTCCCCACAACAGACACCCTGTGAGGTAGGTGGGGCTGAGAGAGTTCTGAGAGAACTGTGACTGACCCAAGGTCACCCAGCTGGCTGCATGTGGAGAAGTGGGGAATCAAACCCGGTTCTCGAGATTAGAGTCCGCCGCTCTTAACCACTACACTAAGCTGGCTCTTGCAACTTTGATAAGAAATATTAGTTTGCCCTTCTTTGTTTTCACAAGTCACCCAAATGCTTAGACTCTGAACCTTCTGTGAACACAGACCGAAGGACAGAACTGCAACAAGTCACCATGAGTGCTGGGCTTGTTCAAGAGTATAAGATAGCATGTCCTGACCTGGACAGTCCAGGACAGCCCACGGAAAGCACTGAATTGTGTTATCTATTGTATACAAGTGATCAATTTTTGACTAAAATTACACTTTTCCAAAACAGAAGATACTGGAATGGACCGTCTCCCTTATTTCTACAGCACTGTTTCACTGTTGTAGATACTTACTGTTTCTGTGACTGTATTATTACGAGGATCTTTGGTGCATCCATTCACAACTGCACCCATAATTTGGTTGAACTGTCATGGCTTCCCATAAAGGACACCTGGAAGCTATCCAGTGAAAGGACTAGGACTTCTAGCAGATGACACTGGACATCAAAGCTGCTTTCATTTTCTAATGCAGATGTGCCCTGCTTCCATATGCAAAGAGGGTCCTCCTATGTTTATGTCCTTTAAACTTGCATGAGCGGTAAGCAAAGCAGTAGCCCAAATAAGTCCAGCAGCAGACATACCTCTGTTTCCAAAAGTCCACTGTAGGCTGGGTTGGCTGTGCTTCTTCTCTTTCTCTCTTGGCGTTTGCTCTGGATTTCTGTAACCAACCAGATCAATGTATCTTTGTACGGTTATGAACATTCAAAAAGAAAAATATCTACAGCCAAAGCTGTTTCCTCTTAGGCCACCTGAGCATAGGAATGGCAGCCTCCAGGTGGGACCTGGGGATCTCCTGGAATTACAGCTCATCTCCAGACTCCAGAAATTAGTTCCTCTGGAGGAAATGGATGATTTGGAGGGTGGACCCTATGACATTGCATCCCACTGAAGTCCCTGTCCTCCCTGGACTCCATCCCCAAATCTCCAGGAGTTTCCCAACCTGGAGCTGGCAACCCTATCTTCCCATACCCTACTGGTAGCCAGATAGGTAACCCTATCTGAGCACCATCAAGGGATGACCATCACCATCATGTACAGCAATTTGTTTGTTTGTTTGTTTTATTTAAAGCATTTCTGTGCCATTTTTCAACCCAGCTCATGGCTCTCAAGGTGTTAGCACTGAGAGTCATCTTTTTTTTTTTTGCCCCTGTTCCTCTGGAATAACGTTTTTCAACCTAGCTCACGGCTCCCAAGGTGTTAGCACTGAGTCATCTCTTTTTTTTGCCCCTGTTCCTCTGGAATAATGCAGAGAGCCTAGAAATGTACAGGGCTAATGCTCCTGCCCCTGAGGATATCCTGTGATGTATCGGTATCTGAGCAATGAGGCTACTCTGGAACAAGTGGGTGCCCCATGAGTCCGGACTGATCTTGCTGCCATTGCTGGAAACAGAATGGCAGACTCTGAGGACTGCAAGACAGCAAGCGACCGCATACATTTGTTTTCTTCTTCTCCCTTTATACATGAAAGAGTTCCGTTATATGCAAAGCTTATTTGGGGTCTGGCCAGCAAATGTCAGAGTGAATACTTATAACAACACCAAAGCTGTGCAATTTCTGCACAATGTCTTGGTTTTGCATTTAGCCTGTCGCAGAATGCACCGCAGCTTGCTTTGTTGCTAGTAGATGGAAAGAGGGAGAAGAAAGGCGATGAACATCGAGGCTGGAATTCTACACATTTAGGGCTGAAGCCTTTTTTTGAAAGGAGAAAAGAAATACAGATTTCCACCTCCAGCTTCCATCCGTTAAAGTACGATATTAATCGCTCCCCACCAGCATCAAAATTTGAGGCAGCCCTCATGTGTCTGGTGAGGGGAAGAGATCGCCTCTTTGCCTTCTCATTCTCCCCTCAGCATGAGGCACGGCAGCTCGGGCGAAAGAGTGAGATTGCCAAAGCGTCTGAAGGAGAGCCAGCAGTCTGTGGAGAAAGAGGAGTAAAATCACCCCACCACCCCACTGCGGCCAGCTTCCTTTTCTTCCTGGGTGGCTGCCATGGCAGTAGTGGTTTTACTCTCTGTGCGTGGCCTGCTCCTTTCAGGACAGCCTCCTGGGTGGTGGGATGAGAGTAGGGAGGCTGTGGGAAAGGGTATGGGGTGGTTGGAGACATCCGTCCCTGCCCACAGCACAGGGAGGTTCACAGCTTACCCTCCAGGCCCTCTGGCGGCAGACATTTGACACTATAAACTCTCTGTCCACCATAAGCAGGGCTATTTTTGGGCAGGAACGCACAGGAACGGAGTTCCGGCTGGCTCCCAAGTTGGCCACGCCCAGCAGGAACTCATTAGCATAATAGGCCACACCCAACAGCAGAAACTCATTAGGATTGGCTACATTAGGGGTGTGTGGCCTAACATGCAAAGGAGTTCCTGCTACAAAAAAGCCCTGGGTTTTGACAACAAACAAGGTAAACAGAATAACAAGCAAAAGGTGGGTGTGGCTGGATAACCACACTTCTGATAACATGGGGGTGTGGCCTAATGTGCTAATGAGCTGTGCTGTCAGGGGTGTGGCCCAATATGCTATTGAGTTCCTGTTGTTGGGTGTGGCCTATTATGCTAATGAGTTCCTGCTGGGCTTTTTCTACAAAAAGATCCATGACCATAAGCCCTACTAGACAACGGCCTTTGCCAGTTTCCTGGAACATTTGGTGGGCGCCAACTTGGGGAATGGTGCTCAGAGGAGCTCCAAGTGGTATGTCAAAGATTCATGAGCCACTGAGTATCGCTGCTCTGACCACTACATTGTATCGAATGGTCTCTGTATTTTTCTTGATTAAATCTGAATTTTACGTAATTAAATTTCAATCTGTCCTTTCTGGACTTCTTGGCACTTTGGCCCTGTTGTATGAAAACAAAATCCTTCTGCATCCAATGGCAGCTTAGTGAGGATCCACTTGGAGTGTCTCAAGCAGTTGGCTCTAGCCCACAACAATTCGTGCTGAAATAAAATGTTGTTGGTGCTTTGTTTATTTTCAGTGCAAAACTTTTATTTTCAGTGCAAAACTAACAGCTGCCCCTTGGAAATATGACCATGTTTTGAAGTGTCATAGTTTTTGCACATTCCACTTTGAAGGGTGTACCAACACATCACTATAAAATGTCAGTTAGTCCAAAAGCTGTAGACATTTATTCAAAGGAAGAAACTCTAGGATTCTCTAGGGCACCTGAACTACAATCGTCTCTCATTATGTTACATTATGTTATGTTCCCACCTTTCCTTCTGAAAGCTGTCAAGTTGGGTACATAGTTTGGAACTAACTGTGAAGTCCTGCTTATTTAAATGGTGATTCCAAGCACATGCTTCAAATGTCTCCAGTCAACGAGACACCAGAGGGTAGAACAACACAGTACCTTGGCAAGCGTTTCCAAATGGATGTTTGCAGAAATAATTTGAAAGCAGGCATGGAAGGGGTGACTGTAGAGGAAAATCAGTGTGAGGGGCAGGTACTTAATCTCCATCACAGATACCAGTTCTTTCCTGCAAATGCCCATCCCCACAATTTCCCACTCAGCTGGAATTCCTTCCAGTCTCAGAGACCAGCTGGGTGGGAAAAAACAACACACATTCGAAATTACCAAGGAAGGTATTTGCAGGAGAGAAGTGCTGGCAGGTGTACTGAGCATCCCTGTCCTGCCTGTTAATACTCTCCTGCATTTGACTAAAGGGGAGAAAAAACATGTATTGTTCTTGAAATGTGTAATTTCACCCTCAGCTGAGTCTGCTGAATTTATTTTTCACTGTATTTCACCAATTTATTTTTCACAGGGTGACCCAAAGCACTTGGCTCCGTATCGTTCTCTGAATCCTCCCAACAACTAGAGTGAGAAGGTTTTTTGCCCTAATTTCCCCAAACATAAAATGATCAAACTCAAAATAAGCAAGTTGTGTGACTGTCCTTGCATTTTCCCACTTATATAAGTCTCCTTGCAATTTCCATTCCAGCCCACTGCCATTAAGGGATTAGGAGCGGGGGTGCCTCTCTGCAAGCTGCTTTTAGATCCTCAGTCATCAAGGAAGGTGTTAATTTAGTTTAAACACATATAAAATTCAGAGCTTTTCTGAGAAAACAAACGAATTTGAAGCAAAGAGCAAAGTTGAAGCAGGATAAACCCACACAGTAGTAGCTGTTCTGACTTCTTTCTGAAATTCAATGTTCTCTCATGTTGTCCATATGCTAGAAAAATTGTGATGCTTTTCACTTAAGTGACAAGAAACAGACAGATTCTGTTTTTAAAAAAGAATTATAGAAACAAGTGATACAGAAAGTGATTTTGCTTGCATGCGTTTTAGAGCAGAAGTTAAGATTTTCAAGCCCAAGATTATGCAAAACTGGGAAAAAATGCTACGCTAACAGAAAATATAGACAGTTCTTCCTCATCCGTATCAGTTCAACCCGTCCTCAGGAGAGTTGACTTCACTGGACTTAGAAGGGTGTAGCTCTCCCTACGACTGCACAGGTACGCTACAAATTATCTTCACAGTAAGTGCAGCTGACTTCTCCAAAAACAGAAGATATTTTTATAGCAATAAAAGCATTCTTACCTTCCAAGTATTCTGTCGTAACCAGGCCTAATGCTACCATGAAGGCAATTTTCTAGAGAAGAAATAATAATAAAAAGGTTGTATTAATTCTGTATTCTTTGGTTATTATTTTAAGAATTCCAGCTTTGACAGAGTGTTTCACAAACTCTTTCATTTGAATAAAAATCTGTCAGAAATTCCTCACTATCCAAACAAGTGGTTTCAGCATTAGTTGATAAGAGATATAATAAACATCTGCATTCAGAGAATGTCCTTTTAAGTCGGTCGAAAAAATAACAGTTATATGCACTGTAGATAGATTTTGTTTGCAAAGGCTCTTTGCGCCTTCTTGGACATTTTTGGGGAAAAGATACCTTGCTGCTGCTGCTGTTGTTTGGAGAATACAAATTAAATAAATAAGGAATCTATGTAACTATAAATCTCATTTGTGCCCATGCTTTAATTTTCAGGAAACAATTCTATCAAGATTGGACGCTTCCCAGTATTTTCATCACAGACTCTTCCACCTTACAGAATATCTACTTTTTCTTATCAAAATAAGATAACAGGAAATATTTTTACTTTGCCTCTTTTAAAAACACACTGAGGTACACACGCACGCACACACAGAGAGAGGTGACTTCATGCGTTTTGCTACATTTTCCTGTTAGGTGTCAATAAATGTCTGAAGAAATCTTCAGCACATCTCTCTTTGCATAGTTCAATAAGGTTGGGTGTGTGTTTTTTTTTTTTGCAAAACCATTTCATGTCATAATTATATGTTCTAGTTGTCGTTACATGCATTTACACTAATTACACAGTTAGTTCTAATTACACTAATTGTATAAATGCATGTTAATCAACTAAAGCTTACTCAAAGAATAAAATAAATTAACCCAAAGCCTCAGTGCTCAATAGAACAGCTCTCAGATTTGCTGGTTTCTTTAGTACAAAAAGAGAGCCGCAAGCCCCCGGCCCCCACCCCAAGTCTCTACAGCAAGAGGTTCACTGAATAGCCCCCGCCCCTGGTCAAGGCTTCAATTCAGCTCTAATAAATAGAAAGCAGGATAACTTTCTGTTGGTATCTAACTCTTCTATGTGCAAATCAGGAGTTTATGTGCGTATGGTTTTTTTGTTGTTCAGTCGCACAGTCGAGTCCGACTCTTTGCGACCCCATGGACCAGATCAGGCCAGGCCTTCCTGTCTTCCGCCGTCCTCTGAAGTTGGCTCAAGTTCATGTTCGTTGCATCGATGACACTGTCTAACCATCTCATCCTTTGCCGTCCCCGTCTTCTTTGACCTTCAATCTTTCCCAGCATCAGGGTCTTCTCCAGTGAGTGCTCCCTTCTCATTTGGTGGCCAGAGTATTTGAGCTTCAGTTTCATTATCTGGCCTTCCAGGGAACAGTCAGGGTTGATTTCTTTGAGGATTGACTGATTTGTTCTTCTTGCAGTCCAAGGGACTCTCAAGAGTCTTCTCCAGCACCATAGTCCAAAAGAATCTATTCTTCGGTGCTCGGCCTTCCTTATAGTCCAACTCTCGCAGCCGTACATGACTACTGGGAATACCATTGCTTTGACCATGCGGACTTCTGTTGGCAGGGTGATGTCTCTACTTTTTATCATGCTGTTTAGGTTCGCCATCGCTTTCCTCCCAAGGAACAGGCATCTTTTAATTTCATGGCTGTTTACTGTTATACATAATCTAATAAAAGTAATTCTTTGTCTTGAAATCGCAACCCAGGGGCATAGGGTTTTCAAGGGAAGACAGGAGCAGAAGTGGGGTGCCATCGCCTTCCTCTGCATAGCAGAAATGGGTGGTCTGCCATCCAAGTACTAAGAGCAGCCACCCCTGCTTCCAAACTCTGATGACATCGGACTGAGTTGGGCTATTAGGCTGCTATACATATAGTTCAAATAATAGTCCTAATAAAGGCCCATGTAGCATAATGATGAAGAGCATGATTTCTCAATTTCACCCACCATCAGGGAAATCCTGTGCAAAGATGCTCAAGGCTAAATTTCACTGACTTCCATGGACAAAGACTGGAGTAACTATGCACTACAGGTAGTCTTAAGCAAGCCATTATATCGTAGCCTCTTCCAGCGTTGGGACTACCAGTAGTGAACTACCTTCTGTGGTATAACACCTTCTATGTCTGTATGATAGTCTGTATGATATTGATGAGGAAGAGAAGGAGGAGGAGGAGGAGGAGGGGATTGTATTTATACCCTACCCTTCACTACCCAAAGGAGTCTTAGAGCGGCTTACAATCTCCTTTCCTTTCCCCTCCCCACAACAGACACCCTGTGAGGTAGGTGGGGCTGAGAGAGAGTGCTCTTTGGAGGATTGCTCTTGAGAGAACAGCTCGGAAAGAACTGTAACTGACCCAAGGTCACACCAGCAGGTGCATGTGGTGAAGTGGGGAATCAAACCCGGTTCTCCCGACTAGAGTCCGCGCTCCTAACCACTACACCAAACTGGCTCTCAGGTAGAATGAAAAGGAGGAAGGTGTAGTTTATGATCCACACTGGGTACACCATGGGCTAAAGAGTGATCCAAGACAATAAGCAATAGACAGTGTATTGCAGCCATGACGACAGTAGTTATTTTCCAGTGGAAACAAGTTCAAGGTGAATTGTTGGTTTTGGATAACAAATTCATCTTCAGTTTGATGAACGTGTCCTGCATTTTTTGCTGACAAAGACACAGAATGAGTCTATTCTGCCTAGGTACCATCCCAGAAGTGATAATAAATCTTACTCAACTTGAGTAATGATGCATGTGAGATTCCATCAACTCCCACTCTAAAATATTCTTTAGTATCCTATAATATGAGATCCTGCTTTAATGGGTGCATTTACATTTAAAAAACAAGTGTTTCCAAGAAGATTCATAGGCACATTGTTTAAGAATAGTTATCAAAGCTTATTGCTCCAGGAATTGTGTCATGGTACAGGTTTATTAGCTATATAGATTTTGGAGTACTTCTACAGTGAAATTTCTTTGCACTAAAATTCAGGTTGAAAGAATTTCTTGAAGAGAAACTAAAGCAGAATTTGATTCACACAGGCATGCATTGGATGCATAACTCATTTCGTAGCTTCAATCAAAAGACCATTATACCAATTACCTTCATTTGTAAAGCCCAAAAGACAAATAAGTGGGTTCAAATCAAGACTGAATTCTCCCTAGAAGCTAAAATAAGTAAACTAAGGCTATCGTTCTTTGGTGACATTATCAGAAGACAAGTGTCAAAGACAACAATGCTAGGACAAGTTGAAGGCAGCAGGAAAAGAGGAAGACCCAGGGCTATTTTTGGGCAGGAACGCACAGGAACGGAGTTCCGGCTGGCTTCAAAGTTGGCCATGCCCACTACAGCCAAAGCCTCTGCGTGTGTGGCTACAGAGGGAAGGCCTGGAGAGCGACACCCCCCTGTGACTCTGAGGCGGGCGAGCCAGGAGGGGTCCTGGAAGGATCGGGGAGACATTTAAATGCCTCCTCATGCCTTCCCCGGCCTGTCCAAGGGCCGGCTTGCCCAGGATTCCTGCAGCATGGGGTGTGGCCTAATATGCTAATGAGCTGTGGTGTCAGGGGTGTGGCCTACTATGCTAATGAGTTCCTGCTGGGCTTTTTCTGCAAAAAAAGCCCTAGGAAGACCCAACGTGAGGTGGATTGACTCAATCCAGGAAGCCAGAGTCCTCAGTTTGCAAGACCTGAGCAAGGCTGTTAGTGATAAGGTATTTTGGAAGACATTATTGGCTGCGGCCACACACACTAAATAATCCACTTTCAATCTACTTTCAGTGCACTTTCCAACTGGACTTTACTGTGTGAACTGGCAAAATCCAGCCAGAAAGTGAATTGAAAGTGAATTATTTAATGTGTGATCGCAGCCATTAATTCATAGGGTTGTCATAAATTTGAAGCAGCTAAATAAAATAATAATTTTATAGTAAGCATGGGAAATGCAACTTATCTACCTGACTGAGACTTGTTATCAACAGTTTTTTAATTATGACCTTGCTATGTTATCTCTGTTAGTGGCTTGCAAATAAGGGCTTATCAATACTAGAGCCAGTCCATCTTGAATGGTGGGAAAGAGAGGGAAAACTTCCTTCCTCTCACAGGGATTAGCTGACTGGGGCCCCGGTCACACGGCAAAGTTGCCGCGGGAGAGGCACGGATGGTGGGCAGATTATCCCGGCGCGATCACACCCCAACTAGTAAACGTTTGCCACGGGCTGCCTCCAGACGCCCGTGGTGTGATCGCACCGGTGCGTGGCATTCCCCTCCGGTCCCTCGTTTACCCGCCAGTGCCGAGGGAAGGACCCATGGTGTGCCGCCGGCGCGTCTGATCGCGTAATCATGGATCTAACTGCACCGGGGCAATTAGCCACGCCTCCCCCTCCGCGATATCTGGCCCGTGTGACCGAGGCCTGGGTTATTGATGTTCTTTGTAGCCAGCTCTCCTGGGAGCTACACACCTTGAGATGGCAGGAAAAGTAAATCGAAATGGGCATTAGCATTGCTATTAACACACTGGTGCCAACAGTAATGCTGAACTGTGATCAAGACGGGCAAAAGGGTGAGTTCCAGCACAGGCGAAAGATGCATGAGCCTACGGCCCATTCTCTATGAAGCCCCGTACAGTCTAAGCCCCCTGGTTTTACTGGAGTAACTCTGCACAGGATTGCAGTGCCACAACTAAGAGAACACAAAAACGAACCCAGCACTATTTTGAGAATGTGTGAAGGAGCAACTCATATGACCAAGTTTCCCTCACCCCCCCCAAAAAAAGATGTGATGGAAAGCACAAAGGCTTAATGTGTCCTGCAGCAGTGGAAAAGGCAAACTGTGTTAGGGATTATTAGGAAAGGGATTGAGAATGGAACGGCTGATAATGCAATGCCCCTGTAGAGATCTAGGGGTGCGGCCTCGTTTGGAATACTCTGTACAGTTCTGGTCACTGTATCTCAAAAATGACATTGCAGAGCTGGGAAAAAGTGCAGAGGAAGGCAACCAAGATGATTAGGGGGTCGGAGCACCTTCCTTCTGAGGAAAGGCTGAAGACTATAGGACTTTTCAGTTTAGAAAAGAGACGATGGGTGGTGGTGGGGAACAACATGATAGAGGTTTATAAATTTATGAATGGAGTGGGGGAAATTGACAAAGATAACTTTTTTCCCCTCTCCCAAAAAACTAGAACTCGAGGGCATCCAATGAAGCTGAAGGGCAGTAGGGATAGGACAGACAAAAGGAAATACTACTTTAGGCAGAGTGATTAAAATGAGGAATTCCCTGCCGGAGGATGTAGAGATGGCCACAGGAATAAACAGCTTTAAAGGGGATTAGATAGATTCATGGAGGATGAGTCTGTCAGTGGCTACTAGCCATGGTGGCTGAGGGGAACCTCCACATTCAGAGGCCCTAAACCTCTGGATCTCAGAGCCAGGAAGCAACATCAGGGGAAGGCCTTGGCCTCTATGCCCTGTTGTTGGCTGCCCAGAGAAAATGGTTGGCCACTGTGTGAGACAAGATGCTGGACTAGATGGACCAATGGTCTGATCCAGCAGGGCTGCTCTTATGTTCTTAATTTCTGCACCGAAGGCAACCTTTTGGTGCATCTCCATCTACGGTCAAGCATGCAGTGCTTTTGGGAAGAAAGAAAAGAGTATTCTGTCAACCTCTGGATTCTCCTCCTTTTTCTTTTTGGTAGCAGGCAGTCCCTGAGCTGACTCTCCAGGAGGCTTCTTTGTCTCCACTTTAATTTCTGTCTGGGCTTGAACTTGAGGTTGAATGATGATGACCTGCAGAAAAAAAGGGAGGAAGGAAGAAAGGAAAAGAAAAGTGATGTTCAAAAAGATGTGAAAATCTCTTTCAGATGTAGGAGCTCAAATCAGATCTTCAAATCAAGGGCAGCAAAGCAGCAAAACACCAACACCACACAATGAACATGTTATGCTCCGGATGCCCTCCTGTCAGACTGTGAACAGGAGTATAGATGCTGCGGGTTTCTCAGCACACCTGTTCAGCAGACAGAGTTACCCTGCTTGACACTCATGACCAGACTGCGAGCTGATCAGAAGCATCTCTGGATTGCATTGAGCACCTGGCACCTCTGCCAGAACCCAACTCACAGCTGATGGGGTACTCAGGCCCCTGCCACATGGGGGGGGGGGGAATAGCATGGGCAAAGTGCAGCTTTCTAAAGCCGCACCAAAAGAGAGACGCGGCAGCGGGATCACATAGATCCCCTGAGCCACCGGGGGAAAGCCACTGAAGAAAGAGCGCGACAGCCGAACTGCGCATGTGTGCGCATGCGCAGTTTGGCCGGGAGCCTGGATTGATCCGGACGACGGGCGCGGCGGCGATCCCATGGCTGTGCTTGCAGCAGTGCTTCAGGTAAGTCCTCCTCTGTAGGAGGTTCTTTTTTGCAGTGGGTTTTCTGGGTTTAGGGACGGATCAGGGACGGGTGCGCACTGCTTCCCAGATGTTGCAGTGAGATCACGCTCATTTGCTGTGCCCCGATCTGTCCCTCTCCCGGGCCAAAGTCTCCCATGTGACCAGGCCCTCAGACTCTTATCCATCCTGCCTCCTCAGCTAAACAGCTGCATAGTGAAGTTGCAAAAGGGAGCTCCTCCTTCCTGTACAAGGGAGCAGGGCCAGAAGCAATGCTTTTGATCTCTGCATTGCAGAAGGGATAGAAAGAACTTGGTTTTCCTTCCCCTCTCCAGCTTGGTTGGGTCAGATGCGGTGCTTTTAAACTCTGCATTGCAAAAGAGAAAGAGCTTGTTTCTTTCCTTTTGTCTGCAGCTAAAGCTGATAGTTTGGGGTGAGGGGAAGAAAGGGGAAATCAGCTGGGGCTTCTGGTCCCTCATCTGCAGGGAGTTGGCTTCTGATCAGTATTCCCTCTAAGCTGAGTTGGTGTGAGCTAGCTCACAGTCTTTTAGCCTCTGACTCACACATTTTTGTCTTAGGCTCAGAAAGGATGGCTCCAGAGCAAACTAATTTATGCGGTAGCCAAATCACCTGCTCACAACTTTAATGCCAGTAGCTCACAAAGTAGAATTTTTGCTGACAGGACTCCATAGCTTAGAGGGAACATTGCTGCTGATAGCTGCAAGTAACCTTGTATTCATGGGAATACATATGAAGAGGTTTCCAGCAGCAACAGCCCATCAGTTAGCTGGCTGCCTCATCAGCACTAGGAAGTGAGCTGAACTAGCAGGTGTTTGAGTATCCCTAAATGGAAGCCGCCTCATTTTCAGAGAGTCCAATTGCACCGCTTTGTGACTTTATGTGATTTAGGATTACCAAAAGGTTGCTGCAAAAAAATAAATAAATTAGCAGCGTTTTGATCTACTGGCTCCTTTAGAAGAACAGAAATTAAACTTTCATTTCATCGGCATTTAATCTTTTGTACCTTTTTTGTTTTGTTTTGCTGTACATATTCTATACTGCAACCTGTTGGTTTTATCTATTTTATTCCTATTGCTTTTAGCGTACACAGTTTGGGAGAGCTTCAACAATGGGTACTAGCTATGGCGGCTACAGTAAAGATCCATGCCCAGAAGAGGCAAGCAATGCCGTGGCTAGGTACCTCAAGTGCTAAAATGTCTGATTTTCCATAACAGTCATTAATGACCCTAAGGGTAAATCTTTGTATGCAGGTCTACGTAATTTAGGTGGTAATGTCTAAGAGATCTATAGTATATTGTGCTTTTAGTGGTGCTGGCTGGCTAAGTAGGTATAACAGCTCAGAATATTCAGTTGCTCAGGACCTACACAGCCCAGCTAGGGGATGCACTGCCCATTTTTCTGGGATTGAAAGCATCATACAGGTGATGACTGAACCCTAGGAAGATGTCCCAGGAAACAAAGGAACAGGACATCAGGAGCAAAGAGACTGAAAGAAGGGTGTAGAATAAGGCACAAAAGGAGATCTAAGGGAGACCACAGAGAGGAGCCATTGGAAGAAACCAAACAATGCTTAAAAATAAGGGCCGTGTGCTACGTAAGATAAGGGAGGAAGACAAGAGTGGTCCGTCAAGGAAAATCACAGCTAAAGGAAAGGGTGGCCAGATCCAAACTCTGACAGTGGAGTTCTACCATCATTGCAGCTGAGCTGTGCAAATTGGGGCCCCAAATAGCTGGGGGGGGGACAGCCAGGCATGGGACTGTATGTATTTATTTCTCTCTGGGACTCGAGGTGGATTACACAGGATAAGTCAATACAATCAACAGAGCAGGACATAGGAGCTGAGAGAGACCCAAGTCAGACAGAGAAGTGATAAGAGAAGAAGAAAAGGAGAGAGTGGATTTATACCCTGCCCTTCACTACGCAAAGGAGTCTCAGAGTGGCTTACAAACTTCTTTCCCTTCCCCTCACCACAACAGACACCCTGTGAGGTGTAATATCCTGGGCCAGCCCCAACAAGGTATCCTCAGCATGAATGCTGAAGTCCCCCACAACGCTCAGTCTAGATGTCTCCAGCACTACATCCAAGAGTACCTCTGCCAATATAGAGAAAAGGGCCACTGGGTAGGTGGCCATTAAACAAACAGAATGCTTCTCCCCAGTGCTGTTTGACATCTATGTGTGCCCCCCTCGCCCAGCTAGTGCAGAGATTTGGGCTGGGGTGTCATCGATATGCCGATGACACCCAGCTATTTCTGTTGATGGGTGACCAGGCAGATACCGCTCCCGGGAACTTAGCTGAGGGTTTGGTGGCTGTGGTGAGATGGTTAAAGAGTCGTCTGAAACTGAATGCAGGTAAGACGGAGGTTCTATGGCTGGGTGGGGAAGAGCCTCGATTGGGTTGCCAGCTTCCGACTCTTGAGGGTGTGCCTCAATCACCAGCACAGACTGCAGGAGCCTAGGCGTGACCTTGGACTCCTCCCTGTCTATGGAGGCGCAGGTTGTGAAGGCTGCCAAGCTGGTGTTTTCCCAACTGTGCCAGGTTAGGCAACTGGCCCCCGACCTAGTCATGTTAATCCATGCAATGGTCACCTCCAGGTTGGACTATTGTAATTCGCTCTACGCAGGCCTGCCCTTGTGCCTGACCCGGAAGCTCCCAACTGGTCCAAAATACAGACGTGCGGGTCCTTACCGGGACCTCCTGGACAGCACACGTTCAACCTGTGCTACGCGAGCTGCACTGGCTTCCAGTGGAGCACCGCATACGGTTCAAGGTTCTGGTTTTGACCTTCAAGGCTCTCGGCGGTTAGGGTCCTACATACCTTTGGGACCGCCTCTCCCAGTATGCCCCTGGAAGAGCTCAGGGAATAAGAACTTCCTGGTGGCCCCCAGCCTAAGAGAGATCCGGCTGTCCTCAACCAGGGTCTGCCTGGTGGAACTCTCTAATTACTACCTTTCCACGGGGCATGTAAGGCATTCGGCTGAGGACAGTGTGGCATCTGGCACTCTCATATATTCTCCCCATCCCTCACAACCCTCCCCTCCGAGGAGGCTGGGGAGCTTAAAGTTTCCCCGCCATCTTGGACTGTACACTTTTTTATCTATTGATCTGTTTTGGGATAGTTTTAATGTTGGTTTTATTTATTGTATGCTATTCTGTTGTAAGCTGCCCTGAGCCCTTCTTGTAGGGAAGGGTGGCCTCGTAAATCTAATTTGATAAATAAATAAATAAATAAATAATGTCCATGGAAGCTGAAGAACTCAGAGAGGATAAGGGTCATGCTTCTGGAGGACTGCATAACCAGAGGGACAGTGTGGTATAGTGGTTAAGTGCGCGGACTCTAATCTGGGAGAGCCGGGTTTGATTCTCCACTCCTCCACTTGCACCTGGCTGGATGACCTTGGGCAAGCCATAGCTCTGATAAGAGCTGTTCTTGAAAAAGAGCAGTTTCTGTCAGAGCTCTCTCAGCCCCACCCACCTCACAGGGTGTCTGTTGTGGGGAGGGGAAGGGAAAGGAGTTTGTAAGCTGCTCTGAGACTCCTTTGGGTAGTGAAGGGCCACGGGGTATAAATCCAATCTCTTCTCTTCTTCACAGTTTTTTCTTCCAGCCATGTCTCTGTTATGCAAGCCAGGTCAATGTGACATATTCATTTCAATTAACCAGTCAGTGTTTTGGTTCCAGGCTCCTAATTTGCCGGTGATATTGCTATCATATACCTCCCCCCAATAATTCAAGAACACTATATTGAATAATGGGAGACTCCCCTAAACTCCCTTTAGCACACAGGTAAACATCAAACATTTTCTATGTGTTTCCTTAACAGATATCTTCCCTTTCTAAGTTCTACTGGAAAGACGTAAAACAAACAGGATGCTAAATTCCACAGACCTTTTCTGAAATGCAGCTGAGGGCACATTACCTACCCCTCAACCCTAAGTCTGAAATACCAACTGTCATTCAATGTCACAGCTGGCCTACCTTGCTGTCGGCACTGATGAGGAGCGGTTGCACTTTGATGCTGTCTTTAACCACAGAGACGGCTGCACTGGTAGTGCTGATGGGAGTCACGCTGTTGGGGGATGTAGAGATGATGGCATAGGCCACCCCGGTGCTGTTCAGGGGCGATGAGATAGCTGTAGGCTCAGTAACACTTTGCAGCTGGCTGTTGAATGTCTGTACATGGCTAACGGTGTTATTGGCAGTCGGGAGGGCAGGAGTTGGGGTTTTGATGCTGACAACAGTTGCCTTTTGGAATGTAGGTGGTTGTTTCGAAAGTTGATCTCTGCATGGAGAAACAGGGAGGCTGTCTGGAATCAGGGTCTTTGGCCTAACCTGAAGAAAAGATAGGCTTGTTAGACATAAATTGGAAAGAACAGCAACAAACACAGTGGACACATAGTCAACAGTACAAGGCCGCCGCTACTAGGTAGGGGCACATGGGAGGGTATACTGTCATGGCCACCTGAAGGACCCTTCTAGACCCATTCCTAGAATTTTCTGCATTTTAAGTCAGTTTCTATTTCTATCACCCATGAAAATACTTGGAAGAAGGGCCCAATCAGGCAATATTCTACCCAATTGTTTAGCAAAAAGTAAGCCTGTCCCTGCCACCCAACATGTTGGTCAATGTATGCAAACCGCTGACAGACAAGCAATTTACAATTTCAAAAATATATTAAATAACTTTCTTATGAACTACAGGTATGTTTTTGCTGGTTCACACAGGTTTAATATATTACTTCTCCCACCCCCTCAGGTCACAAAAATCTTTGACTATAGGTCAGCTGTTGAGGGAGATTTTGTTCTATTACATGTGTAGAAGTAAGATTCAGGTGGGTAGCCATGTTGGTTTGAAGCAGCAGACTCACTGGACTCGAAGTCTGTTCATGTGTAGATGCAGGCACTACAACAAACTATTTCAAGTCATTTGTTGAATTCAGCCATCTTTACTAGCAGATCAGCTCATTTTACCTATGCCATTTTATCTCCCCTATCCTCCAAGGACTCTAAATTGCACACATTTCCACCACCACCACCATCTTATTCTCACCAGAAACCCTGTGAGGTAAGTGAGGGGAAGGGGGGGGGGGGGGGGGGGAGGAGAGAGAGAGAGAGAGAGAGAAAGAAACTGGCACAAGATCATCCAGGGAGTTTCCTGACTGCAGGGATCTGAACTCCGGTTTCCTCGGTCCTTGTTGGACACTGTAAGCACTGCATCAAGCTAGCTGGCCTAGTCAAAGCTCATCCTTGAGAAGGAATAGCCCCTGGCCAGCTGAGTTAACCAGCAGGCTAAAACTTACCCCCAAGGGATATCTGTCTTTGAATAAGCATGCTGAAATGAACAGCTTCCTCACAAGGAACCCCAAAGATGCTTCCTAACTTGGCAGTTCCCTTGGGCCCCAGGAACTTAGAAAAGCCCTGAAGCTGTCTCTGGATTCCACCTGGCAATGCTGACCATTTCCCTTACTCCCAGGAGCATCAACTTCTCTCTGGGTAGTAACCATTGCCACCAACAAAACTGAAAGTTGACTTCCTGCTAGATGGATTTGTACATCAAGCACTCTGTCTTTGCATTGCAATTTATAGGTACGCTACACCTAACTGCTATGTCTCTTGCTTCTCTCATACTAGCTAGCAAGGAGATGATCTAGTGCATTTTTGTACCTCTGCGTTTTAGGGAGGGTGAGTTCAATGGTTGTCCCTTCCCTTTACCACTCTTTGGACAGCAGGACTGAATCGGTGTAGTGTGTTTACAGAGATCAGGCTTCGAGCATTCAAAATGTTTAAAAGTTTAATAAATAAAAAGAGTACACATTGTCTGTACAAGCAGCAGGCTGAGTAAGGATAAAAAGAAATGGTGAAAACACACTCCCCCTGAAACCTAAACTCTATGTTCATCCTAACAATGTTTTTGCTAGAATAGACTAGTATTTCTTGAAGTTGCAGCATTTTAAAGTCCATTATTACCATAGTTGGGACTTCTCTCTACTGTCCCTTGCCACATGGACAAGATGGAGTCCATAGATAAAGATTTAGTCTTTTAATGGTGAGAACCAAGAGTCAGTGATAAGAGTTAGAGCAAAACAGCTTCTTAGAATTTATCCTCTCTCCTTGGGAGTCCATCCCGCATCGGCTTAGTCCTGATCTTCCTGCCTCAATTGTTGCTAGAATAGACTAGTATTTCTTGAAGTTGCAGCATTTTAAAGTCCATTATTACCATAGTTGGGACTTCTCTCTACTGTCCCTTGCCACATGGACAAGATGGAGTCCATAGATAAAGATGGTCTTTTAATGGTGAGAGCCAAGAGTCAGTGTTAAGAGTTAGAGCAAAACAGGTTCTTAGAATTTATCCTCTCCCCTTGGGAGTCAATCCCGCTTCGGCTTAGTCCTGATCTTCCTGCCTCAAGAGGAAGACATATGATCTAGCCTTTTGGCTTTCGCAGTTTCTGTCCCTTTAGATGTGAGACTCCAGCAGAGATATTTGATGGTAAACGTTTTGCCTTAATCTAGTCAGTCCTTTGCAACTCTAAGCACAGAAGTGCTCTGAGTTTGGGGGTTGATGACTTATTCATCCTGCCCATTTCCTTTTTACCAGCTACAAATTTGGAGCCGAGCACCCATTTGTAGAAAGAGTGTTTTTTTTTGTAGCCCCAATTTTTGGAATATTGATGTGATTTCAAGGTGAAAGGTGTTTCTCCAAACAGATTGTATATGCAACATAGGGATTTCCCAGGGAAAGTGGAAAGGTGAGCTGCTTCCTGTCCTAGCAATAAATAGGCTAGTGAAGTCATTTCTAACAGCATTATCTACAATGGTTATGTTCCATTATTTTGTCCTGGTATCATATCCATAGAGGGATTATTCAAAACTGGCTCTCAAACAACAAATGCAGCAGCACTGCAGTTTTAAATGGTAATAAAGGAACAGTAGAAATTTTATTCCTGTGAGAGGACAGAGGCTTTCTTAAGATAAATTTCTAAGGGCTAATAATAGTTGCTGCTTGCAATTTACATTGCAGTCTTACGCAAAGTTATTCTGCAAATGATTACAGTGCTAGTGAAGTAGATATGGTGCCACATGCTTAAGCATCCCTGGAACACACAATGAATACATTTTTTTACAGCTTATCTTTAGAGGATCAGAAATCCAAATAAACAGGGATGTGGCAATAAAAAGGGGCCTCAGCCCTAATGGTGCAGACAACTTGCATGCCTGCTACTTTGCATTTACAGGTGGTAAATGGGGTCTCGGTGATGCTAAAACAATATACGCTTATTTGCTGGAATAGGTAATCATATCCCCAGCTAACTGGAGGACATTTTCTCTAATGAATCTTGTCCCCTAGGTGATTTAGCTCAGGTGCCTCAACAATGAAGGCAGGAGCAAAGGAGAGAGTGGGGGAATGAGGTCCATAACAGTAACCACATAGGAAACCAGTGTAAGCCCCACAGAAAACTACGTTTCCTAGTGTCTCTTGGAATGCTGCTTTAGAGTTAATTTACGTTTGCAAAGCAGATTTGGCTGGAGTTAAATCCAGGGCTAACAACAACAACAAAATCTAGGGCTTTTTTTTCTGGGGGAATGCGCCAGAATAGATTTCCGGAACCTCTTCGACAAAATTCTTTTAAAAATTCATGAATTTTCAGTATACAAATTGAAAACATCAGTTCCCTCTTGAGGGTTCCCACACCTCTCTTTCGACAACAACAAAAAAGCCCTGGTTGAAACAATATTTATCTATTCCTTTATGTTATTTATTTTATTTATGTATTTATTTATTTTCACTTATACCCCGCCCTCCCCGCAAGCGGGCTCAGGGCGGATTACATAGGCACAACTGTGCAATAAAATACAACAGGATTAAAACAGTTAAGGCACCAAGTGCAATAAAAATAGGACAAGTTAGTCACTTGGACTCTATACACTCACTTGGACTCAAGGCAGATTCCACATCATAGTGAGTCAAGACAATTGACGGGATGGGACATTCAAAGAACAATGCAATAGGAATTAGGGTTGTAGAACCAACCAGAAGTCTAATAGATACTGAAGCAAAGTGTAAGTATTAACATGACCATTAAATGATGCAAAAATTACATAGTAGGATCCTAGTTGCGGCAAGCTATACACAGTAGCATAGACCACAGTCCCTAATAATTTATCCAAGTAACTTTGGGACGCATTTAAAACAGTGCAATTCATTCTACCTGCTGTTCATTCTATGGAGTGACAAATCTATGGAGTGACAAACAGAAGCGGACTCATTACTGAAGTTCAGAAAATGTATGTAAAAATGACCATATATAAAATCGAACAAGATCAAGAACTATCATATGATTAAAAGTTCCTAACAAAATGCTGATTTCTCTCAAATTTAGTGAATGAATACAGGGTTTTGCATTTCATCTGTTGGAAGCAGACAGCTGCTTTTGAGACAACTTCCCAGAATAGAGTCAAAAGACAGCTCAGGCAGAAATGGAGAAATCTACATTGTACACACAAGACAATAAAAGGAAAGGCCCTAGGATGGTGTTCTGATAATACTCTGTCTTCCATTGGTATAATGCTCTCCTCTCACCACAGTTAAGCATGCATTAAGCATTTCCTCAATATTAAGCATAAATAATGTCATGTTCACTTCTGTCCTTTTCATCCATGCTGCCATATTCCACTGGCTACTTTCTGCACTCATTATTCTGGAATAAAGCTCTCAGCCCCTGTCATCGTCTAACAATCTGCTATCAAAAACAGTGGTCTGCATTTCTATCTCTTGAAACTTATTTTTAATCAGCAGGGAAGTTTCTTTATTATTATAAACATTTTATTGATTTTCAAAAGAAAAAGAAGTAAAAAGTGGAGAGTATTCCATTATAAAAGTACCTAGTCAGGATTCTCATACATAACATACAGAATAAGGATTAACATGTTTAACCACTTAGCCACTGTCTTCTTAACAACATTATTTTTTAATAGATACTTATTTTCTTCACACTGCTATATATCTACTTACTTTTATGTTATATCTACTCAGGTTGAACTTCTATATTTTTTCCTCTAATAATATATTCTATTCAAATATTCTAATAATATTTCACCTATGGATAGTCAAGACTCATGCTAACTAAAATGTTTAAGAAATAGAAGGAATATACAAATCAAAATAGAAACAAGAACATTGCTACTTCCTTACTAACTTCATGGTAAGCTCTTATAGATGATCTAAGTTCAATTTCAGCTAAGGTCTTTTCAGAATTCTCTATATCCTTCTAGAGGAGGTAACATGTGGATAGACATAGGGAAAAGGAGGTTAACATTTTCCATTTTCACATCAT